TGCGTGGATTTGCCCTCCGCGATTATGTCATCGCGGTAGGGTCGCGTTTTTCCTTAGCGCTTCGAACGGCGCGAATTATGTCTCCGCGGATAAGGGCTTCGCGGATTTGTGGTGGAACCGTTAAGTGAATCACTGCAGTTTAGTAAGTTAGTAACACGGTTGTTAAGTGAATCTGGATTTCCCTTTGACTTTGCTTGTCAGAAGGTCACAAAAGCTGATCACGTGACCCCCAGCCAGGACACTGCAGCCGTCATAACTATGAATCAGTTGTCAAGCATCTGAATCTTGATGCTGCAACAGTTGTATGAAAAACTGTCGTAAGTCACTTATTTCACTGCCATTGTAACTTGGAGCAGTCACTAAATGAACTGTTGTAAGTCAAGGACTACCCATATACCATGTTCCTTAAAACTCTGGGGGTTGGGATATGCTTCAGCTAAGCAATACGTATACCAGCGCTTTGTTCTGCAGGGTGGCAGAAGAGGCTATGTAGTTCGAATGCAGTATTGCAGGCTAATTCTGCCCACGGGCTGAAGTTCGGTCCTGGCTGACTCATGGTCGACTTCTGCCTTTCCGAGGTATGTATGTAGGTGTGCGCGCACAAACAGAAGCACATATATGAAATTAAATCACGGAGCAGGTAGAGAAGCCCACTTTAGAAACTTCATCTCAAAGACTATAAATCAATTTTGGACAAATAATTTTATTTCAGTCCACCCAACAGATTTCCTCCGAGGACAGAAATTCACTAGCAGCCTGCAGTTGTTTCAGATAACACCTAGATACAAGACAGTGGTGCATGGTAATCATTTTCAGGCTTTCTTTTCCACGCTGGGCTCATGCCGCACGGCAAGGAAGAGCTGCCTGCCTCAGATCTAGCTGTAAGCCTGGGGGAAAAATCCAGCTCTTTTGGCAACTTCTTAACAGCTGATGATTGTCTGGCTGGGAGAAGCAGCGGATAGATCCCTGAAGGGGCGGGCAGCCATGACAGTAGAGTCTCTTTCTCTAGCCTGCTCAGAATGCCTCTCGTCTTGTCTTACCCTTAAAGGCTTATTCATACATGGTAGCAGGAGGAGGAGGTATGAGTCCAGCAGCTGTCACACGCCGTTCGCTTACCAGGAAGTTGAAAGTAGCACAAGCATTAGGCTGTGGAGCCAAAGAGATGAGAAAGAATAAAAGACTAGCACAGTTGGAAAGAACCTTGGAGGCCTTCTACTCCAACCCACTTCTCAAGTTCAAGTTGGGTCCAAGTTCAAAGCCAACCAAAGGAATCAATGCGGAGAAAAAGATGAGAGTCTATTTTTATTGCTATTCATGCTTTAGGGAATCATAGTGAATCAACCAATGCATATGGAGGAAAATAGGATAGGATAGGATAGGATAGGATAGGATAGGATAGGATAGAATAGAATAACAGAGTTGAAAGGGGCCT